CAGCCTTTTCTCTCACTTCTTTACAACTAGGATGCACTCAGAACTGAACTTTAAGACTGTGCGCTGGGCTGGTGTGGTTCAGTTGGTTGGGTGTTGACCCACGCACCAAAAGGTCATCGGTTCCATTCCTGGTCAGGGCACATGGCTGGGTTGCAGGCTCGATCCCCAGTAGGGGGCGTGCAGAAGGCAGCTGGTCCATGTTTCTCTCTCTCTTCCTCCTCCATTCCGCCCCCTCTAAAAAAAAAATCAATAAAAACACATTTTTAAAAAGACATATAGATACAAAGTTCAAGTATTCAGAGCAAAGGAAGCCCTCTCTAATCATAGCTTTCATGTAGATACTTTTCAAAACCAGATAGAACCTGACCACACACTGACTAGCCAGGAAGGTAGGCAGGAAAGTTACTGGTCCTCACTGTGGATTTGGAAATGAAAGCTTGGAGCATGAGCAAAGCTGCCTAAGATGACTTAGGCAGCAAGCACAGGAGGGCTTAGTTGGAAAAAGCTCTTTCTCCAACTCATTTATCACGTTTGGGCATTATTGTGTTTCCTCCATGGGGAATATTGCTACTTTTGTCCTGGGAGCATAAACTCGACCCTCCTTCACGGACGCAGCCCAACACCAGAAGCCCTGCCTTTCTCCTGATTGCATCCTTCTCTGCACAGAAAAATGCTACGTGCTAAGAGGGTCCCTGGTATGTGACCTGTGCAAGTGTAGGTACAGATACCATCATTGACCTCGAAAACCATCTGCTTCTGCTCATCCAGTTTTTCTTTGATGCTCCCTCCAGGAGGCTTGTGCGTGTGGCCCTGGGGCCTGATTTGACCCCAGAGCTCCCTAGTATGCCTCTCCCCACCCCCGACCAGATTTTTGGCTTGATTCAGCTGGGTCCCTCCCCAGGGGGAGAGTCTAGGCTTAAATCTTGATGGAATCCAGTTTATTCCAGCTGAGTGCCGTCCCTGACCTGTCCTGGCATATCACCCTAGCCTTGGCCAGAGCACGGCTTGCGTAATATAGAGGCTGAAACTACTGGAATCTGCACATCTGGACACAGGCAGGACCAGGGGCCACAGGCACACATTCCTATATCACTCGCCTCAGCCTGCCCGGTGTCACTCTCCCCGCCAGGCATATAAGGCAATCTGCAGTCTGGGCTGCCTGGGCCCCAGCTCCAGGTGAATTGATTCTTCTGGGGGCTGGGTGGTCACTCCTGGCCCCAGCCTGGGCAGGCTGGGACAGGTGGGAGGGACAAAGGCAAAACACCTTAGCTCAGCCCTTAATCACCAAGACATATGTCCCCGACTGCTCATGTGGGAGGAGGCCTCAGGGCTTCCCAGCTCTCCACAGGGTGGTATGTTGTCTGTTGTCGGGAGCCAATGTCCCTGATATCCGGTTGGGCAATAACCTATTGCATTCTCCAGATTCCCGCCAGGGAGGGCTGCTGGTGGTTCCGGCTGTGGCCCTGCTTCGGACTTCTTGGCTCCTTTATCTTTTCTGGGCTATGGTGGACTCTGAAACTTCTGCCTCATAACCTCACTTCCCCGAGCCATTTGGCTCCAATTCCGACAGTGATATGGATGCTGCCACTTCCCAGACCCACAAGGGAGCTCTAGCTGGGCCCCTTTGTCCCATTTTCTCCTTTTCCTTGGGAGGCTTCAGTCATGGTGGGGAGGGAGCTCATCTGTTGAGTGCTTGGTACTATATGTCAGGGTTGTTTTTTTTTTTCTGTCCAGCATTTTATTGAAAGGTTTTATTTTGCAGAGGAGGAAACTAGGTCTTAGAGAGGTTAAACAACTTGCCCAGTGTCAGAGAGCTAGTGACTGACAGCTCCAGGATTTAAACTCAGGCTTGTCACTCCATGAGACCAGAAGGGGCAGAAGACAAGTTTGAGGGCCAGGGGCGGGTTCCTTGGAGTCCAAGCCCCTTGTGTACCTGGCATCTGAGGGCAGGTGTACATAATGCCATGGAGAAGAGTCTTGGACCTGAAGGTCACGGTCACAGTCTCAGTTATGACATTTAATGCTGTGTGACTTGGAAAAATCTCGTGGGCCTCAGCATGCTCCATACAATAGCTTTCTATTTTTTTTTTAATATTTAAAAATTTATCTTTATTGTTGAAGGTATTACAGACGTCTCCTCCTTTCCCCCCATTAGCCCCCTCCCACCTTCACCACACTATCGTCTGTGTCCATGCATATATGCATATAAGTTCTTTAGTTAATCTCTTCCCACCCACTCCCTTCCCTCTGAGGTTTGTCAGTCTGTTCCATGTTTCCATGCCCCTGGGTGTATTTTGTTCATTTGTTTATTTTGTTCATTAGATTGCACATATAAGGGGGGGGTCATGTGATACTTGTCTTTCTCGGACTGGCTTATTTCACTCAGCGTAATAATCTCTAGGCCCCTTATACTGTACCTTTTTTAAAATACCCATTCAGAGAGTTCCACCACAGACCAATAAGATCAGCATGTGGGCATGGCATCTTGTGGAATTGGTATTATAAAAACCTCTTAGTTGTTTCTAGTATGCTTGCAAGCATGACAGTCCCTGAGCTAAGTGATCTAGGTCAGCGCTTCTCAAATTTGGATGTGCTGTAAATCACCCGGGAATCTGGTTCAACAGAGATTCAGTTCAGTAGGTCTTGGACTTCACGTGCCTAACACACTCCCAGGCGATGCTGATGCTGCTAGGCCAGGGACCACACTTTGAATAGCAGAGGCTACAGGGCCTTAAGTATGAAGGCAGCAACTTGGCCCTTGCCTGAGTGAGCTGGTCCCCATCCTGCCAACCCTGGCTAGGGCCACTGCCTGGCATTAGGGGAGAAGGCAGACTACCACTCTGCCATGGGCCCTCTGGCTGAGGCAGACGGGGCTAACAGGACTTCAACACTGTTCTGTGCCTGCCCCTTAGGCTTAGGGAGGAGCACGGGAGTAATGGACAGGCAGGTGCCTCTCTCCTTCCTTCTCTTCCTCTTTGTTGTGCCCAAACCATGAGTGACAGGGGGCTGTAGTGGACTTCAAGGGTGTGTTCCTGACATGCACACCTATCCCTGGGGATTGGCTCCCTGACCGGGGTGGCCATACTAGCACTGTGGCCTTTTAAGTGTCACTGTTTCCTTCTAGGCCCACTTTTCTGGAAACGCTGGTCTGGTCCCTCCTTTGGCACCTCCCCTTTGTCTTCATGAAAGGAAAGCAGAGCTGGCTGCTGGGAAGGGCTCTGAAGATGGGAAGGCCCTTCAGGAGAAGGAGACTAAGGGGTGTTTGCAGCAGCTGGCTCAGCTGGCCTAGCAACACAACCATGTCCCCCAGATGCTCCCTGGGTGGGTGTGAGGTCCCTTCAGACTGCTCTTTCCACATCTCCACCCCCAGACCACCACCCACCTAGAGACCTGGAGCCTTTCCTAGGCCTGCATTTCCCCTGCCAGAGGGGCCGAGGTAGAGCTAGCTGGGGACAAATGCTTCCCACGACCTCCTGGAGGTCCTGGGGGTTCCTAAGTCTTTATCAGAGGTTAGAGAGTTCCAGTAACAAGAAACGTGTAGGTGCATACACAGCCCAAGGGGCCTGTGGAGTGTGTATGCGAGCACACGAGCCCACACCAATCCACCTGGCTCATGGACACGAGCAAACTTGGCTGCAGCTGTACACAGAGATGGATGCCAGGCATACGACCAGGTACACATGTGTGCAGCTTCGCCCTGTTCCTGTTTGTCCCCAAAGCCCTCAGCGGCCCCAGGGACTGCACAGCCTTCTTTCTTCCCTCTCATTAGTGTGGGACCCTTGAGCATACTGGTAGTTTTCCTGACCGACTTGCACCTTCCCACACTCTTTCTTTCGTCCTCCACTCGCCCGGCATACCTGAAATACTGTTTTGTCCTTTAAGTTGTCGACCCTGGCTGCCAGGTTCTCATCCCGGGTTCCTTGTGGGAGGGCACTGCAGACGGACAGCACTTGCTGTCTTGGAAACAGCACACCAGTCTCCTTGGAGTCACCTGGTCACAGGTGCTAAGAAAATGAAGGAAATGGGGACAGGACTGTGTGGCCACCATCAATGCCAGGTCCCATGTCCCAGCCCCCCTGCTCCCTGGGACTACCTAGGGAGGGACAAAGAGCTGCCGGGGCAGTCCTCGGGCTTCACTGCTGGTACTCAGCCTACACTGGGCCAGGAGGGCCTCCTCTGTGGCTTCCGTCCAGCTGCACGTCTGCACCGAGGCTGGCAGGAGTGTCCCGCTCAGTGCCAGGAACTCCCAGAGCAGAGGCAGGAGACCGACTCAGCCACGGCCCTCCCAGACGCCCACAGTCAGCACTGGGTGATGCCGCAAATAGGCCAGTCTCAGGGGAGAGCTGGGGCAGCCCTGGGAGGCTCCCAGGGGAGAGAGGGCTGGAACTCTCTGAGCTGGAGTCAGACTGAACTTGGACTCCAGGCCTCGGACTGCTACCCTGTCAACCAGGGGCCTGGAGACGAGCCCTTCCTTTCTGAGCTGACTCAGAGATCCGTGAAACGGGGTAGGAAAACCTTCACAGCTGCTTGTGTGTTCTCAGTGGCATTTGGTTATCAAGTTGCTGGGGAATGTCGGCTTTGATGAGGGAAGAAGAATTGGTGAACATTTCTCTCTCTAGCTACACTAGGACGGTCTAGCAAGGCTGTGGAAGGGAATGGCTCCCTGAGGAAGAGGGGTGAAGACATAGCTGTGCCTCCCCCTCCCAGCAGTACTCCTTGACCCTGATGCTTTGGGAAGGTGCTGCTGTGGCAGATTCTGTTCTTGGGCAGGGGCAGGACTGGGACAGGTAAAGAATGAGGCTCAAGGAAGGGGTCCCAGGATGTACAGGGCAAATCCTAGCGGGCTCGGACAAGCAAATGTGCCAGCCCTTCTGTGCTTTTCTTGCCATTTCTGGGTCACCAGAACTAGGGGTGCCTGCCTGCTGGAGGTGAGGCAGCAGCACCCATCATCCTGCTAACCTCGCCTCTCCACCTCATTCTCTCTCCCTGTTCTGTTTCAGTAGCTGAGGCCAAAAAAGCATGTGAGTGGCTCCGAGCAACAGGCTTTCCTCAGTATGCTCAGCTTTTTGAAGGTAAGATTCCCCTTCTTCACCCCCAAATGTTCCTTCTCCTCCATTTCTCATCTGTGAAATGGGGCAAATCAGATTCTTACTCTGACTGCACAAGAAGCTGTGTACGCTGGCCCTGCTCCTAGAGTTACAACCTCTCTTTTCTCCATCATCATCTCTCCTGGGTGGCTCTTCTCAGCTCTCGCGAGCTCCGCATGGCCCATTGTGAATTAGCTTGTCTTGACCAGGGCCAGTGCTCTGTACCCTTCTGAGGATGCCAGCTGTGGAGATGTGGTGTGGAGCGCGGACCCTGGCAGCCCGGCCCTCGCCTCATCTTCCCCATGGTCTCATTCCTCCGTTTGCCTTCATATTTCAAATGTTCAGTAACGTTGTTCATACTTGCTGATTCTACTACTACTCTTCTTCCCACACACCACTGCACCCTGCTCCCCACCCCCCCAACCTCGCCAACAATAGTCCTTGGCACCCTCGCCAGTGACCTTCAGGTGGTCGAATTCAGTGCTCACCTCTCAGGCTTTAATCTCCCCAGAGCATTCAGTTTCTAGGAGCCCTGCTCTCCTCACTACCCCTCTGGCTGCTGCTGTCCATCTCCTCAGCTGACTCTGCTTGTGCTAAATGTTGGGTTGTCTCAGGGCTAAACCCTGGCCCCTCTTCTCTCAACATTTCTTCCCAGGAGAGTCTTGTCCAAGTACCAGCTATACTCTCATGACTGCCAAATGTCTCTCTGTCCAGACCTCCTTCCCAATCTGTAGCTTTGTCTGTTCAACTGCCAGTCAGACCTCCCCATAGTATCGCCACCCACTCAAGCCCCACATCCAGGAATCACCCTCAGTTCATCTTTTCCTTTGTCCCCCATAGCTAACCCTTCTCCCTGCAGAACAGTTCATGAATCCATCTACTTCCTACCTCCTTCACTGCCACATCAGTGTGACCTGCTGTCACCACGCACCTGGCGTAGTGTGTCAGTCTCCTTCTTGCACTCCCAGCACACTTAGAATGAGGCCAGCCCAGGTGCTTTATCCTCGCTGACAAGACCCCATGAGCCAGCTGCCCTTTCTTTACTCCTCTTCCTTTTGCTCACCACAGTCCAGGTTCCTTTCCACCACTTGTTCACTCCAGGCCCTTTTCCTCTTCGGAGCCTTAATGTTAGTCCTTCCAGGAACTCTCTACCCAGGGTCTTTGCATGGCTGGCCCCTTCTCATTCTTTAGGACTCAGCTCAGAGATCAGGTGGGCAGACCACCTTTCTAGGAGCAGCCCCCACCCAGCCTGTCTTTACCCCATCACTTTGGATGATGTCTTCGTAGCATTTATTACTGCATTCTCCTGTTTTTTGTTTTTCTTTTCCACATATTGCTTATTGTCTTTTGTCCCCAGGAGAGTGGAAGCCCATGAAGGCAGGGACCACTTCTGTCTCATTTGCTGGTGTATCCCTAGTGTCTGGCACAAAGATGCTCAATGAATATTAGGAAATGAGTCAATGGGCTGGTGTTACCAATAAGGCAGAGAAGTGTGGGATTTCCCGGCTGCTCTCACTTCCTCCCCAGTTCCTTCCTCTCTCATCTCCCCTCCCTAAACCCCAGGGAGTGAGCTCCATGCTCTGGGTAGCAGTGGGAAGTATATATTCTGTCTGTGTTCTCTCCCTGCTTCCCCAGTTCACCTTGGGCTAGGGAGGAGGTTCCCTGTTTGAGCAGCCCAGGATTCAAAGGGGACTGAGGGAGCCCATGTTAATTCTTGGCAGCCACCCAGGGCCTCAAGCCTGCCGTCCTCTGTGGACCTGACTCACTGACCGATGGGCTCTCTCGTCCAGCACTACCCTCCGGGCCTCTCCTTATGCTTCCTGCTGGTGGCCAACCCGAGCTCCCTGGACTCTTCCTCCCCCTAGGCCTCCTCCTTCTGCCTGCTCGCGCTGGCCTGCCCTCTGCTTCCCCAGCCTCCCCTTTCCAGCTCCAGACCAACCATCCTCAACTCATCTTGGCTTCTCTCTGCCATGCAGAAGGTTCATTCCCCCTGGACATTGGCTCTGTGAAGAAGGACCACGGTTTTCTGGACGAGGACTCTTTGGGGGCCCTGTGCAGGTAGGGGGGCTGAGGGCCAGACCTGGGGGACTGGGGCCCAGCTTGGGGCTTCCTCGTGAAAAACAAACAAACAAACACCCTGTTCCCCTAACCCAGGAGGAGCCTCACCTATTAACAAAGCTCTGTTTTCTGGGTCTGTGACACCCTCACCCAACCCTTTAGTTAGATCCCACAGACAGTCCTCTGATTTGTCCCTTCTCTACTTACACTAGCTCGGCCCTTGTTTGAGGTCAAACCACGACTTCTTGGATCCATTGCAGCCTCCCAACTGGCCTTCCTGCCTTCCTCCTCTGCATCCCTCCTCATCATGGCCCAGCCACCCGACAGCCACTAGAGTCACTTTCCTCTGCTTAAAACGTGTTACTACCTGAAGGGAAAAGTCCAAAGCTTTTGAGTATGGCACCTGAGACCCTCCACTATGTGTCTTTGGCCAGATTTATCAGCCTCAGTCCCCTCTCATAATTATACCGTGTCCCAAGCTCCTGTTGAAGCCCGAGATAGGAGTCCCCCTGTCTCTGTCCCTTCAAATTCCACTTCTGTCTTCCAGGAACCCATCTGACTCTAAGCACTCTGTTCATGGAAGTTCCTTTTCCCACCCTCTGTCTACTCTGTTCTTGAACCTTTCCCATCTCTGTAGCGATTTGTTTCTACATGTGCAAGTTCTCAGAGAACAGAGCTCAGAATCTCCCCAGTGTTGTGTCTGGCACTGAAACCTTCATGAACACTGGGCTTGGGAGAAGTTCCCTTGGCTGGGCACGTGAATTAGTTGATGGCGTCTTGGGAGTGTCATGGGTAGGTTATGCCCTGCAGACCCTGGGGGTTGGGACCATTGGGTGAACGTTGCTTCATTTCCTCGCAGGAGGCTGATGACCTTGAACAACTGTGCCTCGATGAAACTGGAGGTTCATTTTCAATGCAAGCAGGTGAGTCCTGGCAAGAGTGGTCTCTGTGACCTTGTGGCACCATGGGAAACCTAAGACATACACACATCACTTTCTAAAGTAGCTCCAGTGTCCCAGGAGCCTAGGATATCCAGGGAAGTGCCTTGCTCCAGCCTACGAGTGAGCTGTAGGAGGCTCTATGATGCCTCTGGGTTTTGGTGAGCCTGGTCTAGAAGCTGGAGTATGAGAACAAGTACCCTGGCCCTTGGCCTCACCCACACCACTCAACCTACCTCTGCCTCCTGGGTTTACTGATAACTTGACCTAGAGATAGCCGTCCCTTAAGGAAATCCATCTGCCTCCACTCCCTGCTCTGTGATGGCCAAAATTCCTTGGCTAGGAGGTAGAGACAGAAAGAAGTGATGGAAAAATCATGGCCTTTGTGATCTTAGAAGTCAGGGTCCTTAACTCCACCCACACCAAGTCCCCATCTCCAGAGTGGATCTGTACAAAGGCTTCCAGAGACCTTTCTGACTGCCAATCCAGGATTGTAGAAACCACGAAGACTGCCAGTCTGCACATAGCCTTGGAATGTGGACCTGATGACCCCATCCTGCCCTGGGGTCAGGCTTTATGGGTTTTCTCTGGGGCTTTTTCTTCCATGGGCCTGCAGCCTGGTATTTCAGCCCAATTGCCAGACCCCTTGCCCAAGAAGCAGAAAACCCCTGGGACCTGGTTCCCACTGACTTCTCAGTGACCTTGGGAAAGCCTCTTCCTCACTCTGGGCCTTCGTTTTGCCACCTTGCAAGTTAGAAAATGAGAAAATGTAAAATCTCCCAACTCTGGCATTCTGTGATTCTGATCTAAGACTAGCCCAGACTTGAGAGGTTGCTGAGGACAGGAGGTCAAGATGCCTGGATTCTAGCCTGGCTCTGTGAATGACTTCCTGGATGACATTGCATGACCTTGGGCAAGTGGCGTCTCATTTGTAGGCCGGGATTTCACTATCTGTAAATGAAGAGGGATTAGATCCACCAGATGACCTTTAACATCTATCTGGGCTCCATCCACGACTCCTGGCTTCCTTCTTCTGGGACTCCCTGAGCCAGCTCCCTGTCTAGGGCATGTCGTCAGCCAAAAAACAGGGCCTTTAGCCTCAGTCCCTCAGGCCTTTGGAGGTAGAGAGTGGAGCACAAGCAAGGGCTTGTGGGTGGATTTCTGTGACCCGACCCTGTGGTGCCCTTCCCAGAATGAAGACTCAGACGGGGAAGAGCAGTGTACCATCAGCGAGCCCTGGACCCTGCAGCGAGAAACCAAGCTCTGGTCTCGCTTGGGCTCTTCTGACCTGCTGGCCCCACCGAGCCCCGGACTGCCAGTGACCTCCAGCTGTGAGAGTGTCCTCACCGAGCTTAGTGCCACCTCCCTACCGGCCATAACCGTGAGCCTACCACCCGAGCCAGCGGACCTGTCCTTGGGAGGCCGTACCCCCAGCCCAAGTGACCGGCCCCTTCTCAGCCCCACTCAGGGCCCAGAGGGTCCCCAGGACAAAGCTAAGAAGCGCCGTTCCCGTAGCTTTCTCAAGCACCTCGAGTCTCTGAGGCGGAAGGAAAAGGGTGGCAGCCGGCAAGCTGAGCCGGAGCGTAGCCCAACCGCCTCAGAGAAGGCCACCAAAGGCTCCTCTTTCCGCAGCCGCCGTGGCTTCCTCTCAGCTGGATTCTACAGGGCCAAGAACCGGGCACACACCTCAGCCAGTGGCGGTGGTGCTGAGACTCAGAGGGGCTGGGAGGTGTGGCCTGTGGCCACGCTCCGGCATCCTCAGCGGGTACGCCGGGCTGACTACCTGGTGCATGTGCCTGGGGACCACAAACCAGGCACATTCCCTCGCTCCCTCTCTATTGAGAGCCTGTGTCCTGAGGATGGACACCGCCTGGCCGATTGGCAGCCAGGTAGGCGCTGGGGCTGTGAAGGGCGCCGGGGCTCCTGCGGCTCTACAGGTAGCCATGCCAGCACCTATGACAACATGCCTGAGCTGTACCCAGCTGAGCCTGTACTGGCTGGGGCTGAGGCCGAAGATGAGGAGGGTGGGGGCAGCTATGCCCACCTAGATGACATCCTCCAGCATGTGTGGGGGCTGCAGCAACGAGTAGAGCTTTGGTCTCAGGCCATGTACCCAGACCTGGAGTCTGGAGATAAGGATGAAGAAGAAGATGAAGAAGAAGATGAAGAAGCCACTTCATCAGTAGAAATAGCGACAGTTGACGTTGAAGGTCAGCCTGAAGCTCTGGGCCAGGTAGAGGCTCTGGTCCACAGAGAGTCCTCAGCCCCAGGCCAGGCTGACGTCCAGACAGTGGTCCTGGCTCAGGCCGAGGCTGAGCTCCAGGCACAAGCCGAAGCTGAGCCACAGGGCCCAGCCCAGGATAATGAGCAGGAGGCGAATTCAGGCCGGGAACCCACCTCTGCCTCCAGCCTGTCTGTGGAAGAAGGACACTCCATTTCTGACACTGTGGCCTCCTCCAGCGAACTGGACAGTAGCGGGAACTCCATGAATGAGGCTGAGGCTGCAGGGTCCCCGGCTGGACTCCAGGCACCAGCACCCCGTGAACGACGAGATTCAGGCGTTGGGGCCTCACTTACCAGACCCTGCAGGTGGGAGTTCAGGGTAGGGAAAGGGGCAGGGGACTTAGTTGTCTCTGTCTCTTTCCTTCCCAATCCCTTCCTTCCCCTCTCTCCCCTCCTCCACGTTCACCTCTACCTCCCCAGCCAGTTTCTTAGTTATGAGGCCCAGGGGCAGGTTCTTGGGAGCTGGCTGATGGTCTTTAGGCACCCAGAGGCAGCAGCAAAATAAAGAGTATAGGACTCGGCAATCCAGAATGTTCGGTTCCCAACCTGCCCCTGCTGTGGCCTTGAGCAAATCCTAGCTTGTCTTTGGGCCTTCTTTTCCCACGTGTAAATTGAGAGCATCGGAAGAGATGAGCTCTGATCCCCAGCTTTGCCATTCGAAGTTTGTTAGAGCAGCCTGTCCGCTGCAGTCCCGGGAGGGTAGGGGCTGGTACCACTTTCTGGCACTACATGGGCCTGCACTCTGGACTGTTTCTCTGACAGCATCTGGGCCACTGGGCAGCCCTGGAAGCTAAGACTAAGCTTGCTCCACTCGGGGACCTGGCGGCATTGCTGACCATGGTCCCATCGCCCTGCATTTTCTTTCTTTGGGGACAAAAAAGAGGCCAGAAGAGCACAGCCCATTCTAAAGCTGACCCAACCCTGCTCCACTGGCTTTCTCTACCCCTGCCCCCATCACTTACCAGGAAGCTCCGTTGGCACAGCTTCCAGAACTCCCACCGGCCCAGCCTCAACTCGGAGTCGCTGGAGATCAACCGGCAGTTTGCCAGCCAGATCCGCCTGCTGCACAAGGGCTCCCTGCTGCGACTCACGGCCTTCATGGAGAAGTACACTGTGCCCCACAAACAGAGCTGGGGCTGGTGAGTACTCCGGGGCCATGGTTCTGGCCCCCTCCCTGCCCCTACTGCAAGGCCCTGGGGGGGATCAGCCCCAAAAGGCAGGTGTAGCTGGGCTCTAGGCCATTGGAGTGGTAGGACCTGCCAGGAGGCTGGAGGGGTGTGGCCTGAGAGGTCAACATGACTCTGGGTGGCTTGCATGTATGTCTGTGTGGGGTGCACATAAGATGCATGAGAGTATGTGTGAGTTGTACCTCCTCTGTCACAACGCCCATGCTACCACCAGCGAGGTTGTCCCAAAATGCAACTTTGGTTGCCACTCCTGATCACCATCCTGTGGCTCAGCATTGCCAAAGTTGCCTTCCCATCACGATCCTCTCATGTTCTAGTCCTGCCCCATCTGGCGGGCTCTTTCACCTGCCACTCCGAAGCCACACCGCTGTACCGGCCAGCGGTCCATCCCTGCCTCATTGCCTTTGTCCATTCTTTTCTCTTGGCCTGAAATGCCTTTGCCCCATTTGTCCTCTGGGACAATGCCTACTTATTTCTCAAGAGCCTGCTGAATTTCTCTCTCAGAAGCCTTCCCTGACCCCCTAGGTACAGTTCCCTTCCCTCATGGATCTTCCCCTTAACCAGACTGAGAGTGCCCTGTGTTCCTCTGTGACTCCCCAGGGCTGGGCCCAGAGCAGAGGCTTGGCGAATGTTGGCTCTGGGGATGTGGTGTGGTTCTTACCCCACTTATCGCTGCCTGAGCCCACCCACCTTCAAGACTGCAGACAGTCTTCAAACTGTGTCCTGGCCTCCCTCATGCCCATTTCTGATGTCTTGTCACTCCTCCGAACAGGTCAGTGCCCAAGTTCATGAAAAGGAACAAGACTCCAGACTACCGGGGCCAGCACGTGTTTGGGGTGCCACCTCTCATTCACGTGCAGCGCACGGGCCAGCCGCTGCCCCAGAGCATTCAGCAAGCCATGCGTTACCTGCGTGGCCAGTGCCTGGACCAGGTGAGCCCCAGGGGCCTGCGGGGGATGGCAATGGGGACGGAGTCCAAGGCTAAGAAATGGGGGTGGGAAGCTGCTCTGATCAGCTCCTTGCCCCTTGCTTGGCCTACCAGAGACCTTTCTGAGCCTTAGGAAAGCCCAGCAAGGATGGAGCCAAAGCTCCCTGCTGCCCAGCTCTTTGGCAGCCTCTTTCTGGCCTGGGCACTATGTCCCCAACTGCCAAGAGCCTGCCTTAGCCTAGGTCCCTCTTTTCTTACTCATTTCCTCTAATGCCATGTTTCTCCTTGGCCCGAGGCCATTACAACCCTTTTCTATGGTTTTGCCATTTCTTTCTAATCCTGCCATGCAGGAGGTCTGCTGGGCTTGGAAGTGTCTGGGGTGGCCCACGCTTGTGACTCCCGGTTCAGACCTGGCCTCACAGTCTCCCCCTCCATGTCTCCTTCCCTGACCTGCATGGGCCAGGTGGGCATCTTCCGCAAGTCTGGGGTGAAGTCTAGGATCCAGAACCTGCGCCAGATGAACGAGTCCTCCCCCGACAACGTGTGCTACGACGGCCAGTCAGCCTACGATGTGGCTGACCTGCTGAAGCAGTATTTCCGAGACCTGCCCGAGCCTATCTTCACCAGCAAGCTCACCACCACTTTCCTGCAGATCTACCAGCGTGAGTCGCCTGTACCTATCCCCGCAAAGCTGCCCCATTCTCTGCCCCACCCCCCGGAGAGAACACACATTCTATTTCCCCAAACCCACTATATGGAAGGATAGACTGAGGCCCCGAGGAAAGGCAGGGACCTAAGGTCACACTGCACATTTGAACAGAGCCTGATCTAGCACCCAGAGGCCTCCCAGAGTCCACCTTTGCCCTTCTCCCTCACTGGGTTCCCTTGGGACCATGGTTTCTCCTCTGTTCCTGCAAGTGGCAGGCTTTAGGGTAATAAGGAAGCCCTTCCGCCATTCCTTCCCCACAGTCCTCCCCAAGGATCAGTGGTTGGCAGCGGCACAAGCCGCCACTTTGCTGCTCCCCGATGAGAACCGAGAGGTGCTGCAGACCCTGCTCTATTTCCTAAGTGACATTGCATCCGCTGAGGAGAACCAAATGACAGCTGGCAACCTGGCAGTGTGCCTGGCACCCTCCATCTTCCACCTCAACGTCTCCAAGAAGGACAGCCCCTCACCCAGGTGAAACAGGGTAACATGTGGCCAGGCCGGCAGGGAGGGTTTAGCCCCCAACCCCACTGGAATTCAGGCCCTTCATGTCGGGCACTGCAGTTGCCAGGCATCACCACAAGGGGTCAGCCTGACTCCTCGGGGGCCAAGGACTGGTTGGATGCTGTGAAGCAGGGCCTTCTAGAAGACAACAGGTTGTTTTGTGTTCAGGACCGGCAAGCTGGCTTCCTGGGAACGGGAAACCAGCCTGTGGGCCATATTGTCTCCTGCCCTGGTGCCATCCTCTCCTCTCGGCCCTTCCCTCCAGGATCAAGAGCAAACGCAGCCTGGTTGGCCGGCCAGGCCCTAGGGACCTGAGTGAGAACATGGCAGCCACGCAGGGCTTATCACATATGATCAGTGACTGTAAGAAACTTTTTCAGGTGAGCGACAGCAGGCCATGATGCATCCCTCTCAGACCCGGGGAACTGGCCAGGTCCAACCTTTGTATCCCAAGACTTGCCACATGCCCCTGAACCTCCTGCATCCAGCTCCTCCCTGCATGGTTCCTCACCTACCTCACCGCAGTAGCCGGGCTTCCCACCCCGTGAACGTGAACCCGACAGACTCTGTGGGCTCTGGGACTGAGCTCCTCTGCTGCTCGCCCCTCATGGCTCCAGCCCAGTGTGTGTGCTCTGCCAGGTGCCCCAGGACATGGTGCTGCAGCTGTGTGGCTCCTACAGTGCAGCTGAGCTGAGCCCTCCTGGCCCAGCCCTGGCGGAGCTGCGGCAGGCCCAGGCCGCTGGTGTGAGCCTGAGCCTGTACATGGAGGACAGCGTCCAGGAGCTGCTGCGCGATGCTGCTGAGCGCTTCAAGGGCTGGGTGAGCGTGCCAGGGCCCCAGCACACGGAGCTGGCTTGCAAGAAGGTGGGTAGTGCGCTTCCCATGGTCGCCGTGGGGCTGGGAGAGGGCTTGGTGCAGCTCAGGGGGCCAGGGATCCCAAAGGAAGGAGCTGCCCTGCCAGTGCCACTGTGCCTCGGCCTGACACTTGGAGAATGTCACCAGCAGAGCAAGAACCAAACGGGACCAGGGGCTCTCTCTCGGGTATTATCTTGCCAGAATTACCTCCCAAAAGCCCCACTCCAGACATGTCAGTACTTTTCAAGCCCTACCTCCCCTCTCTCCCTGCACCATGGTCGCACTGTGCTTCTGCCCCTGATGTCGTGCTACCTGGAGTGACCTGTCCCAAGCAGTACATTTCCCAAGCCACTGAGTCCTAACTTGATATGTCCCCTGCACCATTCAGCGCCTCCTGTCATGCTGTGGGCTGGAGGTGACTTCTTTCTGCCCCTCTCTTGACACCAGCCACGTTCCTTCTCGGATTCTGATTATGAGTAGGACTGCAGAGTTGAGGTTGGCCATGTATAAAGCGGTCACAGTGGACCCTCCCTTCCAGGGCTGGGGTGAGAAGCTGGCCCAGTGCCTTCCACATTGCTTGCGCGCTAGGTGGTGACTTGCTTGGGGATCATCACCATCCTCCCCACCATTCACTTCCGGAAATTCCAAGCACTGTGCCTGTTTCATGGTAGAAACTAGTAGGCCTCAGAGAATGTCTGTCATCTCTTCGGGCTCTTGAGCAGCTGGAGAAGCCGATATCCGGAAAGGAGAGAGAGGGCAGGGGACACAGGGATGGCCTGTCTGGGTATGACAAGGGTTAGCACAATAGCCCTGCAGCCTTTCCCCTTCAGGGACTGGAGTGAGGGCAAGCCAGGACTGGGGGTGAGTGGGAGTGTTCCAGCTCTGACAGCTGCCTCCTGTCCCTGCTCGCATGGCCTGTAGGCACCAGACGGGCACCCCCTGCGCGTGTGGAAGGCGTCCACAGAGGTGGCGGCCCCTCCTGCAGTGGTGCTGCACCGTGTGCTGCGGGAACGGGCCCTCTGGGACGAGGACCTGCTGCGGGCCCAGGTGCTGGAGGCCCTGATGCCGGGTGTGGAGCTGTACCACTATGTCACCGACAGCATGGCACCCCATCCCTGCCGCGACTTCGTGGTGCTTCGGTGAGGGACTCTAGCTGCCAGCCTGCGATGCTGAGGGGACAAGGGAGGTGGGGCGAGAACCAGCACCAGGAACCTGAATGTGTGTCCCTTCCCCACAGGATGTGGCGTTCTGACCTGCCCCGCGGGGGTTGCTTGCTTGTCTCCCAGTCCCTGGATCCTGAGCAGCCTGTCCCAGAGTCTGGGGTGCGGGCCCTGATGCTCACCTCCCAGTATCTCATGGAGCCCTGTGGCCTGGGCCGCTCCCGGCTCACCCACATCTGCCGCGCGGACCTAAGGTACCAGGTCCCCTAACCTTGGCGCCCTTCCTGCCTCTGCCCAATGCTGTTGAGCCCTGGGGGCTGGGCAAGGCCTTTCCTCCTTCCCCCTTGAAAGGACTACTGGTAAGAACCCATGTCTCATGCCTGCCTGCTTCCCCTTCCCCAGGGGCCGGTCTCCGGATTGGTACAACAAAGTCTTTGGACACCTGTGTGCCATGGAAGTGGCAAAGATCCGGGACTCCTTCCCCGCCCTGCAGGCAGCTGGTCCTGAGACAAAGTTGTGAACCTGGGCCTGATTCCAAAGGAGGAAGCGGGGATGAGAACCTCCACCCCCAAACCTGTGTTCTGCCCTGCTGGGAAAGAGGAGCCGGTTTACAAGCAAGAGTACCGCTGCTGCCCCCCGGGCCCCAGAGCCACCAGTCACACAGAGGCCTACGGGCTCTCCACCTGCAGGGACTGCAGTGCTCCCAGCCCCCCCGCCCTTTGGAGAGCCCAGGCCATCCTGCTTGGTCCTAAAGCCCCTTTGAGGTTGAACTGGAGGTTCTGGTCCTGCCTTTGGACCCAATGTTGTCCCCAGGCTGGCTTTTCCAGAGAAAGTGGATGGGAGTGGATGGGCACAGGGGCAGAGCAGAGGGCAGCCCCAATCACCAGGAAGTGTTTGATTTGTGTAAATACGATGCTGATTTTTATGAGGCTGATTTAAAGAGTGGGTACTGACGGGCCCTAATAGGCGACCTGACGATTTGGGATAGCTTGGGACATGAGAGCGGGAGAGGGGCCTTCCTTTCTCAAGTCTCAAGAGACCAATGAACCAGTTTCCCCTGGCACGGGCCCCACTCCACGGGGTCGGGTGCAGCCCTTGGCCAATGCAGAGCAGTGTCCGGAGAGCAGAAACAGATGGCGTTCCCTCTCTTGCTCTTTGTGCCAGTAGCAGGCGGACACAGCAACTCCTCCTTCAGGCAGAGACCTGGCCTCTGGCTCAGGTGGCCAACTAGCCAGATGGAAGGGCCCAGGGTCATCTCGGCCACTTGGGGAGTGATCCACACTGGATCTTTCCCACCTATCGGATGGCTTGGTTCATGTGGAAATTCAAGTGCCATCGAAACACTAGCTCATGATTGATTTTTTTTTTTTTTTTTTTGCTGAATAAAATGAAGTGGGATGGTTTCTAGCCAACGTTGTAATTCTTAATCCTATTTTACTTGTACCTATAAATACTGTACAGTCAGAATATGTATATAGATTGGTGTATATATAGATACATATATATATGCGTACACACATCTATATATACACAGATATGTTCTATCATGAGTGTACTATAATCTATGGTTGGGAGCGGGGTGGGGGGCAGGGCACTTAAGATGAAACGGGGGAGGTGGAGAGCTGGAGCCACGTGACTCCATCAGCAGAACAATAAAGCATTACTAGAGATGCGCTCCGGCTGTGTGGCTGTCTTTGCTAAGACGATGGGCTAGGGACTGGGCCTGGTGTTAGGGTCCGAGTTTGTCAGGGAGGTCACAGCAGGAATGGGGGCAAGGCCTCAGCTCTTCTCTTTGGGAGGTGATTTGGGGGTGGGAAGGCAGGATTCTAAGTAGCCAGGGCTGGGGTAGAAGCTGCAGACCCCATCTCCTTTCTTGGCCAGGGTACCCCATCTGAGTGACCCAGGAGCATGACCTCAGGAGCCTCAGTAGCCATAGGGAGAGATGTCCCTGGCTATGCTGTCTGTCCTTCCTCTGCTACACACAGCTGGAGCTGAAGGACAGAGTGGAGGCCCGGCCCAGGAGGCTTGGGGAAGCCAGGTTATGAGAGGTCTCAGTGCCTTGTGGCAGCTCCTGGCCTGGTTCCAGTGGCCAGCAAAGCCCAGGGGACTAGAAGGGTCCCCTTATTTTGACTTCCCTGGAGGGATAACTTGCTTCTCCTCTGTTACTATAGCCAGAAAGTTCCCAACCTCCAGGGGCAGCTCTCTAGTAGCCAGGATTTCAATCTCTCTCTCTCTCTCTCTCTCTCTCTCTCTCAGCTTCCTCATAGGACAAACAGGTTGGCCTGCCCCTCTCTGCACCCCCACCCAGCCTCAACAGTTCAGGGTGCCTGCCAAGTCCCATTTCACCGTCACCTCCTTCCATGCTCCTGGGTTTCACTGTCCCTCCATACCTTAGATCTCTCCTCACTGCTGCCGCCGGGGGGTGGGGGGGTGGGGGGGTGTTGGCTAGCCCTGGAGAGCATCAAGGTGAGTCCCTTGCCTTTGGGAAAGCAGCGGAGTGCCCCCGCCCCCTGTGTGTTCGGGAGGCTCATGAAAGAATTCCCCCAACCTTTCTGCCCTGGACTCCGCCGCTCGGAACCGGCTGCCCCGTGTGGTTCCCTTATGTCTGGCATTCTAGGAGAGGGGTGCCAAGCAGGGGAGCTGCTCTGGGCCTTTCGTGTCGTTCCCCCGACATAAAGCAGAGGATTCCACGCTTGCCGAGCTCTGCCTGGCTCTCCGACAGACATGGGAACAGGTGTCACGACGATGAGGCTGCCCAGGCCCTTCACTGCCACACACATCTTAGCCCTCAGTCATACCTCCACCTGCCTTGAGTTGGCCTCTTCCTTTCCCTGGTGCCAGAGAACCCTCACCCCTCAAATTCCCAACACCATTGCCTATACTTTCTCTGCTTGTGCTTTCACGAACCCAGTACCTCAAAAAAAACCAGGCTGTGGGTGAAGCCCATGTGGGAATTGGACAATCGATCTGCAAGCTTTGATGTGTTATTTTCTGGTCTCCAATGCCCTGCTACTGGAGTCGCTGAGGCTCAGTGTTAGACAGACCCGGGTTCAGATTGCCTATATCATTGCCTGGCTGTGGGACCTTTAGAGACACATTTAACCTTTCCGGTACTTTTGTCCTCACAGAACATAATAATCATTTATATCTTGCAAGGTTGTCATCAGTGTTAAATGAGCCGATGTGAACATGGCTACACAGTACCTAGCAGATAGCGGACGTGAGTCAGTGGGAGTTTCTTCTGCCCTTTCTCCCCCTGCAAGTCAGGCTCTGTGGGGAGGGTTTGGGCCTGGGTGGGTGGGTGGGTGAGTATATGCATATTCTTTTCTGCTTGACATCAAGACCCTACCTATCTTCTTGGTTCCCAGACCCCACAGCCTCAACTTCCACCATTATGGACACACCTACCTCCTCACCACATACAAAGCATCCCAATGACCTCTTTGCATCCCAGCTACCGATTGGCTGGCACCTCTTTTCCTCCTTGAGAATGTGGCCCCATGGCCACATCTTCCTTCTTGAGCCCACCTTCTTCTAGGCAAGGAAATCTCTTCCCACTTCTTTAACCGGAGCTCCAGGCCTTTGTTCCTTGCCCCTCCCACTTCTCTCCTCCCTCTGGGCCACCTCATCCTAAAGCATTCCTTGCTCTTTAGGGACCTTGCTGACATTCATTGTTTCACCTGGAGGCCCAAGTCAAACTCATCATCTTCCAACACAGTCTGTTTCCTGCTGCCTGCTCTGTCTCTGTTGGTGACACTGTTATCTTCCTGGATGCCCAGCTCAGATCCCCGAATCAGACATAACCCCTCCTTCCTTCTCACCTCCCCTCACAACCAGTGCATCCACCCACCCATCCATCCGTCCGTCCATCCGTCCATCCATCTATCCATCCAAACACTCATCCATTCTGCCATTCAACAAGTAGTTGTGGAATGTGTGCTACATGCCGGACTCTGTTGAGGTGCACAGAATACAGCAGAGACGAAGACCAAGGTTCCCACCTGCCTTTAGTGCACATTCTACTGGATGGGTGAGTGGAGGGAGGTAGATGGTAGACAAACACACAAGCTAACTTCAGCTATGACAAGGGCAATGAAGGCAATAAAGCAGAATGAGGTGGTGGTGGCTGGGCAGTTACTTCAATACGGTGGTCAGAGAGGGCCTCTGTGAGGACGCAAGAGGACATTTCAGCCCAGAACTGAGGGAGGAGAAGGAATCAGCTGCACAAAGATCCAAGGTGAAGAGTCCTGGGCAGAGGAAATAGTGAGCAAGTACAAGGACACAGGCATGGGGACAAAGTTGACGTTTTCCAGGATGAGCAGCTGGTCAACATGGCTGGGATGCAGGGAGCAAAGGGACAGTGTGAGGAGAGGGGGTCATAAGGGCCAGATCACGTGGATCTAAAGGGGAATTAACCAGGTCCCATCTAGTCTACCTACACAGCATCTCCTGGATCCAGCCCATGCCGGTTTACAGCACCCCAGCTCATATTCCATACCCTTCTACCTGGATATTAGAAAAAACCCCTCACCTCCCTTCTCTCTTCCCACCCATTTCTGCCTATATGCGGTACCAGGTGACTCTCTAAAGTCAAGTGTCATCCTATCTCTTTCTGGCTCAAACACTGTCAGTGCCTCCTCCTCCTCTACCCCAGTTCACCACCAAACTGTGGCATTCAGGACCCAACAATTCAGCCTCATCCTGTCCACCCAATTTCTCCTTTTCTTCTGCTCCCTTTTCCAGCCATGTCCCAGGCCTGCTCCTTTCACTGCCTCTTCCAGGAGTGCGTGTACCACTGCCTTCGACTCGGAGGACCCAGGTTCAAGTCTCAGCCCTGCCAGTTCTTAGCTGTAGGCAAGTTATTTAACCTTTTGGGTGTTGAGAGGAGCCCATGTACCCAACACAGAGCCCAGTGCAGTAATGGCACAAAGGGAGTGCATCATCACATCTTACTGCGCTTCACAGATAATGGATTTTCATCAGCACTGAGGCAAGACACTAGCAAAAACAGTACTACTGGCTGACAGCTCAGATGATGGTTGTAGTATATTTTAGCAAGCAAGTGCTATTTGTTTCCTTAGGTCTGAATTATCTAATAATATCTAAAGAGCTATAATTTTTTTTTTTACATAGAAATGTACATTTAATACAGTGGTATTTTCAATTAAGGATATACAGTGTTCTTTTTTAGATCTCATGCTATTACACATCTAATAGACTACAGTGCAGTGTAAACATAACTTTTATATGCACTGGGAAACCAAAAATTTCATGTGACTAACTTTAGTATGATATTGCTTTATTTCAGTGGTTTGGGACCACCTGCAATAGTCCGAGGGATACCTGTATTGTGTTGCCTCATTCACTCCAAGCCATTGCTCTATAAAGCGCCCCCTTACTAGGATTGTCCCCTATAGCCTCTCTAGCTATTCACACCCTTCCCAACTTAGCCAGCCTTTCCTAACCAACCCACCCTTGAGCTCTCGAAGCACTTTTCAAGTGGACTTTTCTCACATGAAGCTACCCTCAAATGTACAAGCCGGTTTCTCCTTGCCTAGGCTGTGACATCAAGGACTGGGACCCGATGACTCACTGCTGTGGCCCCATGTGCAGAGAGGCTCTTGTCTACAAGAGCCACTATTCAAGGGAGTGTGTGCTGAGTGCAATTAAATCTCTGTGTGTGAAAGCAGGGACAAGAGAGTATGTGAGGTGAGGATTGTGGGATGGGAGGGATCACTGGAGCTCAAAGGAACCTGGGGAAGGGTGGGTGAGGCTACTATCAAAATTTTCTGCTCCTACTGTATATCAGGATACCATTTCAACCTCCTAACTGCCTTGTGAGGCGCTAGCATCCCCTTTTTCTGGACGGAGATCTGACAGTCCAAAAGGCAACGGGACTTGCCCTGAGGTACGCAGCAAGTAAGCAGCTGAACTGGAACTGTGTTCTTTCCACAACAGCCCTGTGCAAAGGGAGAAGACAGTGCTACCTCGGGGGCCCTTTCTTCATCAACAATATTATAATGTACATTTTATGTCCGGCTGGTGTGTGCAGGAGGCAGCTGATGGACTTTCATGGACCCCACCTACTCCTACTCCACTACCTCTGGGCACAGTGGGGAGGGAGTTGGTAGTGGTAGGTGTGAGAGCTGTTGAAAAAGGAGGAAATGCGTTTGGGGAAAGCTGGCTAAAGACAGCGGAGACCAGGAGGGAGGAAAAAGGGGCAGGCCTGACCTCCTCTGCTTCCGGCCCACCCCCATGGCCTGCTGAGAGTGGCCTGCCCTGCCTTGCCTGCAGGATATTGGCTATGGTCACTAGGAGCCCTAGGTTGACCCTGGGCTGCCACAGCCTCCAAGATAGGCAGATGGTACCTCAAGCTGATGGAGCGGGACTGAGCAGAGACGAGGGCCACATCTGGACTTTCATGGAACCCACCTACTCCTGCTTCTGTGGACCCTTTCTTCATCAACAATATTATAATGTACATTTTATGCCCGGCTGGTGTGGC